ATACATAAAAACTAACTTTATAGATTATACCATCTATCGTATTGTATGGGGTGCACATGTAGCCAAAATATAAACTATGAATAGAAATTTATTATGTACAACTAACATGTTACGAACGTAGAATGAAAGTGCTTTAAAGATAGTTACTCAAAACCATAATTTTTTTACTTTAATTTTTTCAATTAAATATATTTTGTCTATGCAAATAAAGAATTTGCTATATAAATAGAATAAAGTGAGGACACAATTTACGTCCTTAAAATTTTTTTCACCTCTATTTTTAAAAAAGACAGAAATTTTATTATGATAGCCTTAACTTGACTATTCCATTTATACAATTCTATTAAATTATTTACAGGCCTTCTTTAACTCGTTTCGAGAGGTTCTACTCAAGCAGACCTACAGACTAGATTCCAAGGCAGCCAGACAGCGACGTAATGATCTGGTCAGCATGCTTCATCAAATTGCATGGCTCTCAAATCAATGCCGAAACAAGTCATTCTGTGAGTTAACGGTGCCGAAAACTCTGATCGACGAGAGGGAAGCTACTAAGACAATTGCCAAAGAAGAGGATGTAGCTGAGGCTGGAGTGAATGAAAATGCTGTCCATAATAAGAGTGATTACGAAGAGGATGACGAGAATTCGGCTAACGCAGAATCATCAAAACAAAATGACAGCTCGTTGTTGAAACATGAAGAAGCGTCGAGTTCAATTCATCAGCCAGATTGGGAAAAGTATCATGTAAAATACCCTCCTTTTGTGGAGACGGGCCTTGCGAGACAATTGACAGAACTGGCCTGTCTGCCTGAAAGTGAGATTTAATAAATTCACTTTGAGCTTTATAGGACATTTTTTGCATTTGGAAAGATTCATTTGTTGGTGTAATTTTTCCACAATTAAGTAAGTAGGCCTGACAATACCATTAATTTTAATTCGGTTTTAACTCTCTAACAATTTCCTCATTCAGGCTAGACTAAAATTTCGACCACGCTTCGGTCTCATTAGCATCCCTTAGTAAGACAGAGAAAACTTTAATGGCATTTCGAAGAAGGCACATTTTATTGTGCGATGTAATCGTATGTAATAATTATGAAAAGCTTCCAAATAAACCAACTTAGAAAATAGATGACATCTTCGATTGTAATAGCCAATACATGTTTGTCTGATAAATTATTGAACCATAAAGTTACGACGATAAAGGCAACACGGCTTCGAGTCCAACTGTGGATACTGATGGAATCTAGGCAGGATGAAATTCAATGTCATTATGAGGCCTACTGGTTATATTCCGGAAATTATATTCGCTATCAGTTCTTAAATCCTTTTATGCGACCATGCTCAACTAAAAATATTTATAGGTTTAATTTTTTCCTCCCGATAAGCACTTTTAGTTGATGAGACTATTCGGAACTTCAGATATCCTTGTGTACTCCAAATTTTGGATTTGCGTCAAGTTTAAAACGATTTCTAACGTTCTAAGGACCCGTATTTTAAAGCTAGTTGATGAGGCCACATCCTTTTGGTTAGTTGCAATCGACGTTCCTGGCATATACAATTTTCACCTTTTTTGCTCAGTTCAGCCTAGGGGGATGGTTCCACGAACTGCCTTAGTTTATGTAACATTCAGATCTTTTGTTAGCTTGTATCGTTTGACAGGATACAGCCTAAAACATCTCTCTGGCGTCATATTTTGGAAGCTGTGGAAGGTGAACCCGACAAATCAAGTCTCTGTGCCTTCCAAGGTTCGGGTTACTTGAATTTTCGATTACACCTTCGTGAAACTCTCGAAGTTAAAAATTGAGGTGGATTTAAATTGAATAAAAAACATTAATTTAATTAAAGTATTGACCCACTTTAATATCGCAATTGTTTCTTTCGTGTGTAATACTTTGGCTGCTACAATATCATTGCTATTTGTATATCAATCTAATAATGTACTGAATGTACCGGTAATGTTCAAAGTTTTTATTTAGATGAATAACGCAATCTTATACGGTGCGGTCTTCTTTAAACTGCCAGTTTACTCCTGATTTTATGATTTGTGATGTTTCCAGGTAATTTTGAGATTGGAAGACTTATAGTTTAAAGGCTTACAAAGAGATGAGTAGAATATCCCAAATTGGGATTGAATTTCGTCTCGTGTTGCTTCCATATGAGCGTATTTTTTCTGCCTAGACTGCAGTTTTGATTTTGTATGGTCTATATTAGCACTCTTAAAGGGGTTTGATGTGCAAAATCCAGAAGATGGGTTGCCATAGTAAAGAAGCTAGTCCTGAGTTCTACCAGAATCCATAGCTATTGAAGCTTATACTTTACTAGTTAATTGGTGAGTTCAATAAGATGCGGTTTATTAGAGCACCAAACTTTTGCATAAAACAATTAAATTCATTGTATAAGTGAAAAATTAAATTAATTTTCTTCCAATCACACATTCTTAAAGAACGCGTCACAAATCCGTTGATTCGAGGCATTAATCTTCTGGCAAATGACGAGAATTATGAACTCAAGTGTTTGCTGATTGAATTAATTCTCCAGCTTTGCGAGGATTCTTCTGCTATTCGAGTAAGTAATTACGTTCATTTCCTACTCACCTTAAT